CTTCAGAAAAGACCATACTTTAATGGTCATCGTTTTAATACACACAAAAACGGTTTAGAAACTTATACATTATTGCACCTGAAAGGATTCACGCTCCAGACACCCAGTTCCGGTCCCAGAGTCCCAAAGTGTCCCAGTCCCAGGCTGTCCTGGTAGGATAGGCCGTAGGGTCCGTAGGCTGAAGCGTCGTAGGTTGGTAGGTGTCCGTACCGAAATGTCGTAGGTCGGTAAAAGTCCGTCCGGTACCCGAAAAGAAAAGTCCAGAAAAGTCCAGTCCAATCCAACAGTCCCAAGTCCAATTTTGCAGCATGTCCCAGGAAAGTTCGGAAGGTACCGGACCGACAAATGTTTTCAGCAGACATGCCCCGGCCGACCAGTACCGGTCTGAAGCAGGCCAAGCCAAGTCAAGTCCTATATTTAGCTGCTACAGTGCGGCTGCTCATCACTCGTTCATTTTGCGAGATGCAGAAGCACTGCTGATGCTTGTGCATCAAGGCCACTTGGGCACTTCGCACCTGAAGAAGAGGGCGCTCGAGTGTTACTCCATAGCTAGGGCAGAATAGAGGTAGGGAGTAGGGTGGCCATAGCCGCCAAGGTTGAAGCTGACCTGAGTGAGTGTATCCAGGGTGACGGTCTATGATCAGAGAGAGAGAGAGGAGTGAGGCAGAGCAGGCCAAGTCAGACAGAGAAGCAAGACTTTGAGAGAGAGAGAAGCCATAGCCGCCAACAAGTTGAGATTCCGTTGTGTTTTTTCCTTAACACTCCTTGTGTGAATAGCGGGTCTCGCGTAACGCTCCCGGGAGATCCCGCTTTCCGCTGTCGGGAAACGCGGTGGGACAGGTAGGCGGGCCCGACAAACAATGCATGAGGCTCTCGGGGCGGGCCGGCCCGATAGAGGTTTTGGGGATCCGCGCCAGACGGTTCCCGAAACTTCTATCGGGCCGTCAAGTCCGGAGCCGGTCGACAATCTTAACGGTTGTTGCCAAACCGGCTTGCGACGGTTTTGAGAGCTTTGTGCTCGCTGTGCCGGTTGCTGCGCTCGGTTAAATGGTTTTGAGTGCTTTGTGCTCGCTGTGATGGTTGCTGAGCTCGGTTCGACAAGAGAGAGAGAGAGAGAGAGAGAGAGAGAGAGAGAGAGAGAGAGAGAGACGTCCGGTTCGACGACGGAGCGAAGGCAGGTGCAGACGTCAAGGTGAGGAAGAGTACACCGGAGGAGAGGAGAAGAAGGAAAGGATCGTGGGAGGCATTGTGTGGACGTTCCGGGGACGTTGCATGGAGATGGCGGACGAAGGTTAGTAGATCAGTTTTTCTTTTTTACCCGTTTTTTTTTTTTTTTGATTTATTTTTTTTTGTCGCGCGGTCGGGATCAGATTGGTAGGTCGCGATCGGGAGAGCAAGGGAAGAGAGGTAGAGGTCGGGACGAGGAGATCGGGATGGGAGGTCGGGACCGGGACGTCGGGATGGGAGACGCGAATGGAGGAGGGAGAGGTCGGGATCAGGGAGGGAGAGTTGGGACGATGTCGAGGTCGGGATGGGATGGGAAAGGTCGGGATGAAGTCGGGAGGTCGGGACGGGGAGGTCGGGATGGGAGGTCGGGACCGGGAGGTATGGGAGAAGCAAACAGAGGAAGGAGACGTCGCGAGCAGGGAGGGAGAGTTCGGACGATGTCGGGGAAGGGAACGAGAGGGGGAGAGAGATTGAGACGGTAAAGAAGGGAAGGTGGCAGGGAGAGCTCAAAGGTCGAGATTGGGGAGGGAAAGTTGGCATGATGTCGGGGGAAGGAAGGAGAGGGGGAGAGAAGTCGAGACGCCAAGGAGGGGAAGGTGGCGGGATCAGGGAGGCAGACATAGGACGATGTTGAGGTCGGGATGGGATGGGAGTCGGGAGGTCGGGATGGGAGTCGGGTTGGGACGCGGTCGGGGAAGCAAGGGGAGAGAGGGAGAGGTCGGGACGGGGACGTCGGGATGGGAGGTCGGGATGGGAGACGCGAACAGAGGAGGGAGAGGTAGGGATCAAGGAGGGAGAGCTGGGACGATGTCGAGGTCGGGATGGGATGGAAGTCGGACGCGGTCGGGGGAGCAAAGGGAGAGAGGGACAGGTCGGGACAGGGAGGTCGGGATGGTTAGTTTTTTTCTTTGTCGCACAAGGTCGCGGTCAGGATGGGGGATGGGAACCGAGAAGGGAAAGGTCGGGATCGGGTCGGGAGGTCGTGGTTGGGGCAGCAAGGGGAAAGAGGGAGAGGTCGGGGGGAGAAGGAGAGGTCGGGACACAGTCGGGGGAGCAAAGGGAGAGAGGGAGAGGTCGGCACGAGGAGATCGGGATGGGAGGTCGGGACCGGGACGTCGAGATGGCACGGGGAGGTCGGGATGGGAGGTCGGGACCGGGAAGTCGGGATGGGAGACGTGAACAGAGGCGGGAAAGGTTGGGATCAGGGAGGAAGAGCTGGGACGATACCAACGTCGGGATGGGATGGGAGTTGGATGCGGTCGGGGGAGCAAAGGGAGAGAGGGACGGGTCCGGACGGGGAGGTCAGGATGGGGGATGGGAACGAAGAGGTGGGAGGTCGCGGTTGGGGCAGCAAGG